CCCAGACTCCATCCCTTTTAAAACCCTGCCCCTCACCTTTAGGCTCCATCCCCATCTCTCAAAAACCTCCCCATTCAGACCATCTACAGAACTCCCCACCCCCTTAACCCTACCCAGGTCCCACCTACCGACCCCCCACACCAACTAAGCCCCACCCCTAGACTAAACCACGCTCCCAACCGTCCATGGGACCCCTCCACCCCGTTTGGCCCCACCCTCATCTCCCCAAAATCTCCTCATTCAGACCCTCTACGGGATCCCACCACCCCCTTTAATCCCTCCCCAAACCCCACCCCCAGGCCCCACCCCACCAACTAAGCCCTGCCCCCAGACTGAGCCACGCCCCAAATCTCCCCATTCAGACCCTCTATGGGACCCTCCACTTCTTTAACCCCTCCCCCTCCCAAAACTCCACCCTCTTTTAAACCCTCCCCTTTAAGCCCTGCCCCCATATCCCCCATTCAGACACTCTATGGGATCCCCCACCCCTTTAATCCGTCCCCAGGCCCTGCCCACAGATCCCTCCCCACCAACTAAGTCCCCACCCATGAACAAAGCCCCACCTCTAAACTGAGCCATGCCCCAAACACCCTTGGCTCCACTCCTTCAGGACCTATTCCCTCACCTGACACCGGCGCTGTCCAATCAGCGCCAGGAGGGCGTGGTCGGTCTGCCCTGCCCCTTTAAGCCACGTCCAGGCAGCCTTAAGCAGGGAGGGAGTCCCAAGGGGCCTCCCCTTCTCCAGGGCCCACCCCCGACGTTCCCCCTCCTCCACCAAGCCCCGGAGGAGCCCCCCGAGGCGGGACCCAGACCCCGAAATTACATCCTGGGAGGAGGGGGTGGTGCAGAGACCCCCTGAAATTCTGGACGGTGGGGGGAGATGGGGCACAAAGAGGGAGGGGCTTAAAGATTCTGGGAGCAGCCCATGGGGTTCGCCGGCCTGGGGGGGAAAAGGGGGTCGGGGGTGAGGGACCTCCCCAAACCCACCCAGAGAGCCCCCAAATCCCACCTTGGACCCCCTAAACATACCAAAAACCCACCAGAACCCCCAATTAACAGTCCGAGGATCCCTTCTAGAACCCCCCAAAACCGCCTAAAAATCCCCCTGAAAAAATATCACAAAAGTATGTCAGGCCTTAAACTTTTGTTTTTCTAACAAATGGACATGGCCCAGAACTTGTCTATCATCCATTGTCTATTGCTCCGATTCAATCTTCTGCCAACAATTTCTCTCCAGTGCTGCTTGGGCTCCTTTGCAAAGAAATAGAACTTGTGGGGTAACAGGCCCAGTCCTGTTTCATAATTTTGGTGGGGATCTGCCTGAGGGGATTGAGTCTTCCATGAGCAAATTGGCAGATGACAGCAAGCTGGCTTGCGGCATCGATGTGCTGGAGGGTAGGAAGGCTGTACAGAGGGACCTGGACAGGCTGGACCTCTGGACCAACACCATGGGCATGAGGTTCGAGTGCCTTTGGTGCCTCTGGTCACAATAATCCCCTGCAGCTCCATGCCGGGGGAAGAGTAGCTGCAAAGGGTCCCTGTGGGAAAGGCCCTGAGGGTGCTGGTGGACAGAGGCTGAAGCTGAGCCAGCGGGTGCCCGGGTGGGCAAGAAGGCCAAGGGCAGGCTGGCCTGTATCAGAAATAGTGTGGTAGCAGGAGCAGGACAGTGATTCTTCTGCTGGACTGGGCAATGGTGAGGCCACACCTGGAGTGCTGTGTCCAGCTCTGGGCCCCTCAATTCAGGGAGAACACTGAGGGGCTGGAGTGGGTGGAGACCAGGGCAATGGAGCTGGGCAAGGGTCTGGAGTGCATGTCCTCTGAGGAGCAGCTGAGGGAGCTGGGGTTCTCCAATCTGGAGAATAGGAGGCTCGGGGCTGGCCCTTTCCCTGTCCACAGCCTCCTGACAGGAGGGTGGAGCCAGGTGGGGGTCAGCCCCTTCTCTGAGGCAACAGGCCATAGGACAAGAGGACATGAGGACCTGCCTGTCAGGGGATGTTTGTCATGGACAGGAGCAAGACTTTTTGGACAGAAACAGGGAGTAGGTATTGAAATGGGCTGCCCAGGGAGGTGGTGGAGTCACCGTCCCTGGAGGTGTTTAAAGAAAGACTGGACATGGCACTGAGTGCCGTCGTCTGCTTGACGTGCTGGGGATGGGTCGTAGGCTGGATGCCGGTTGATCTCACGTCTCTGCCAACTTCGTGGATTCTGGACTTCTGTGCCATCCCAGCCTTTGGGGACAGCGTGCTGGTGGCTCAGAGGCTCCATCCTTGCCTTGCCTTGCTCATCTTCTGGCTGCCAGACAAGGGCCTTGTGACATCACAGCCTTTGTGGAGCAGCATGGTGGCTGAAAACTGTCAGCGCTCCATCCCCCTGCCCAGAGCCTGGGCAGAAGTCGGCTGGCAGGGACAGCCAGAGACTGTGCAGAGGTGTCAGCTCGTCCCGCAGCAACACGATGCCCAGCCAGGGCATCTCCTGGCTCCTCAGGCTCTGTGTGCTCCTGCTCTTGCCTGGCAGACTCGACCCTTGCAGCTGTGCCACAGGTGCCATTGCTGAGAACTGGGGTTTTCCTTGGATGGCACCTTGCCATAAAAGGCAGGAGAGGCTGAAGAGAGGGGAAGTAGGGGGGTCAGGCCGGTGGGGTGGTGCCAGTGGGCCATGAGCCTGAAGCCAGCAAGGCCTTGGGCCCACACGGTGTCGGGCGAGGACTGAGAGCCTCCAGGGAGGAGGAAAGCTGGGCAGGCTCCTGGGTCTCTTCCATGCCAGCCCTTTGCCCGAGGCCCTGAGGCAGAGGTGGGGCTCAGCCCCTGCACAGCAATCAGGCACAGGCTGAGCCCCAGGGACACCAGAGCCAGGTGGCCTGAGCTCTTCTTCCTGCAGCGTCTACCTGGGGCAGCCCAGCCAGGCCTGAGTCTCTCCAGGAGAGGCCAAGCCCAGCCAGAGAGGGCTCAGCCCTCTGAGGCTGCACTCACTGCAAAGGAAACAAAACATTGGCCCGGAGGACATCCTGCCCCCAAATGGAGAACTGGAAATGTCAAGAACAAAAAAGTCACCCCCCTCCATTATTCAAGAAATGTTTAGACCTCTTTACTAAAAGCATCCAGGAGTCACCCAATTTTCTCTCTGACAAGGGTTCGCAGGGGCTGTTTGGTAAAGGGAACCCCTGGGGCCCCAGTGCAGATGGGTGGGGCTGCACTCTGTGGGTGTCGGCCTTTGGCTCTTGGCTTCCAGGGGCCACTAGGAGTCAGGGAGTCGGACAGGGGACGATGGGACTGGCTGGGATTGGCTCTGGTGCTTGGCCCAGAAAATGGAAGTGTCCCCATGGGGGCAGCTCGAAAGGGCCCAAGAAGGAAATGCCGCCCCAGTGCAGCCTGTGGCAGTGGGGAGTGTGCCGGGGGGAGGATGCTGGGCCAGACAAGGGCTGGGGAAGAATGGCCAAGCCACGGGGGGGTTCTCCCCCTGCCTCCAGGGCCCAGACCCTGATAGGAGGGCCTTGGGCAGGGCCTGGTGCGACTGGAGGAATCTCTGAGCCAGCCGAAGGGCCATGCTTTTGGAAGATGACTTGACAGTCCCAGCTCTCTGAAAGATAAGTCGAGGGCTCTGAGCCAGAGAGGGGATGAGAGCCAGGTACAGGCTTGGGAATTGCCAGGAGGGCTTTTGAAATGAGCATAAGGGAAAGAGATGTCTAAAACCAAATCCCTTAGGAGAGGGAAGCAGAGAGTCTTAGTTTCGACCCCAGCACTAGGTTTTGCAGGTCAGAGTGGAGAATATCACCCACATAAGATTGTTCTGCATCCCTCCTTGCAGTTCTGACAGGCACTGCTCTTCAAAGGTCATTCTTGTGAGCGTCTTTTTGTTCTCTCTTTGAGGTGGGATGGAAGTGGTGGGGCGGGCTATTAGCACCGGAGGGCAGATGAGCAAGGTGAGCATTTTCCTGCCAGTCTGAAGCAGATGTTAATTCTGGCGGGCTGTATCATTGGTGAATCTAAGCACATCCCTTATCATTTGGTTTTTTTTCCTGGTGGTACGCAACCCTACAAGCGTCAGCAGAATGGGAAGGAGGTCCTTGCAGTAAGAGGTCAGTACAAAGGAACCTGAGAGGGGACGTCAGGATGTTGCACTCTGAGGTTATCCCTCAGTATGTGCCTTTGCCTTTGTGATTTTTTTGCAGTGGCCGTCTGTATTCCCAGTGGAGCAGAGCCATGAAATGTCACAGTGCAGTCTCTCCCATGTGCCATGGGCCCCTTTGTGATGTCACGACCTATCCTCCCCATTCCGGAATGGCCCTTGTCATCCAAAGAACCAGCACCACAAACCCCCAGAGTACAGCCCCACCCATGTGCCATGGGCACCTTTGTGATGTCACGGCCTAACATCTTCATTTGACTATTGACACTGGCAACCAAAGAAGGAACGCTGCATTCCCCCACAGTACAGCCCCACCTGTGTACCATGGGCCTCACTGTGATGTCAGAAACTATACTTTCCACTCCGGAATTGCCCCTTGCAACCAAAGAACAAACACCCCACAATGTCACAGTGCAGCTCCATCCGTGTACCATGGGCCCCTTTTTGATGTCACGGCCTACTGCAATCATTCCAGAATGTCCCTGGCAACCAAAGAGGCAGCACCCCACACCCCACAGAGCAGCCCAACCCATGTAACTGGCACCCCTTTGTGATGTCACAGCTTATCCTCTCCATTCTGCAATGGCCCCAGGAAACCAAAGAATCAATGCCCCACACTAACACATGGCAGCCCCACCTGTGTGCCTTAGGCCCCTTTCTGATGTAATAGTCTATCCTATCCATTAGGGAATGGCCCCTGGAAACCAAAGAACCAACGCCTCACAATATCACAGTGCAGCCCCACCTGTGTGCCCTGGGCCCCTGTGTGATGTCACGGCCTATCCTCTCCATTCTGGAATGGTCCCAGGAAACCAAAGAACACATATAACACTCCTCCACATTGCAGTCTTACCTGTGTGCCATGGGCCACTTTGTGATGTCATGGCCTATCCTCTCCATTCCAGAATAGCCCCCGGCAACCCAAAAACCAGCGCCCCACATTGTCAGAATGCAGCCTCACCTGTGTGCCATGGGCTTCTTTGTGATGTCACGGCCTATCCTCTCCATTCCAGAATAGCCCCTGGCAACCCAAAAAACAGCGCCCCACATTGTCAAAATGCAGCCTCACCCGTGTGCCATGGGCTTCTTTGTGATGTCACGGCCTATCCTCTCCAACTCCTAAAGGCTCCTGGAATACAAAGAACACACATCCCACTCCCCCACATTGCGACCTTACTTCTGTGCTATTGGTCCCTTTGTGATATCATGGCCTATGCTCTCCATTCTGGAATGGCCCATGGAAAACTAAGAGGCAATGCCCCACACCCAACAATACAGCCCCTTTGTGATGTCACAGCCTATCCTCTCCATTTCAGAATTGCCTCTAGAAAACTAAGAACCGATGCCCAACAATGTCACAGTGAAGCCCCACCGATGTGCCATGGGCCCCTTTGTGATGTCACAGCCCATTCCCTTCATTCCAGAATGGCCCCAAAAACCAAAGAACCAAGGTCCCACAGTGTCATAATGTAGCCCAACCCATGTGCCATGGGCCTCTTTGTGATGTCACAGCCTATCTTCTCCATTCCAGGATGGCCCCTGGAAACCAAAAAACCAATGCCCCACACCCCACAGTGGAGACCTACCCGAGTGCCATGGGCCCCATTGTGATGTCATGGCCTATCCTCTCCATTCCAGAATGGCCGCTGTCAACCAAAGAACACACACACAGTGTCATAATGCAGCCTAACACATGTGCCATGGACCCCATTGTGATGTCACAGATGTTACGCTCCGGATTAAGCTATACATTGCCCAGAGCGGTTGCATTTTTTTATTTAAGACTTTTTAAAAGCCTTTTGGTTAGTTTTAACCTCTAATTAGCATCCGGAGAAAGAATGACACACTCTTCTCTAAGAGAAATTCTTTTTAATTTAGTGAAAAAAATAAGATATTTTGGCAAAAGGTTTTTACAGGAGTAAAATACAACCAAGAAAGAATTTCACTAAAACATTCAGCACAAAGACCCATTCCACAGGAAATGCCTCCTAAAACAATCCATATGCCAGTTTAGTAAAACAGAGTTCATTGGTTTTAATTTACCCACAAGAGAAGGAAAAGAGTAACAGAAGAAAACAGCTTGAAAGGGGTAAAGAGAGAAGAAAGAGAGAAGGAGAGAGAGGAAAGGAAAAAAGAAATGGATACCAACAAGTTTTGATGGTTCACGTGGTGCCAGCTGGAGGGGGAGAAAAGGGAAGAGGGAGACCTCATGGAGTCTCGTGTATTTATAGAGTTCAGTTTTCCCCCCAAGCAGGATATCCATCAGGCCAGAGTGAGTTGTGCTGTAGCCAGTCACAGGCTGCAGGGGTGTGGTGTGGGCTGGCTACAAGGCACCTCTGCCTTGACTGACAGCCCAACTACAGGCCTTCAGCTGTGCCATGTGCTCTGCATGGGCAGCAGGCCTTATGAGAAGGCCTTACCACATTCCTGCAGGTCTAGGCCCAGCCCTTCCCCACATGCACACACACACTCACAGTGAGTTGGTTCTGACCCATATCAATAATTCAGTGAGATTTGGATCCAGGATCTCTCAACAGACTACCCTCTCCATTTAAGAATGTTCCCTGGCAACCAAAGTCCAAGCACCTCACACCTCACAGAGCAGCCCATCCCATGTAACTTACGCCCCTTTGTGATGTAATGGCCTATCCTCTCCATTCCAGAATAGCCCCTGGCAACCCAGAAACCAGGGCCCCACATTGTCAGAATGCAGCCCTGCCCACGTGCCATGGGCGACTTTGTGATGTCACGGCCTATCCTCTCCAACTCCTAAAGGCCCCTGGAATACAAAGAACACACATCCCACTCCCCCACATTGCAACCTTACCTCTGTGGTATGAGCCCCTTTGTGATGTCATGGACTATCCTCTCCATTCAGGAATGGACCCTGGAAAACAAAGAACCAACAACCCACACCCGTGTGCCACACTCATGTGCCATGGGCCCCATTGTGATGTCATGGCCTATCCTCTCCATTCCAGAATGAGCCCTGGAAACCAAAGAACCAACACCCCACGAGGTCAGAGTGCAGTCCAACCTGTGTGCTATGGGCCCCTTTGTGATGTCATGCACTATCCTCTTGTCTCAGTTTAATGAGACTGAAGTGTTTTGCTAAGGAGGATGTTATGAGGAAGACCAAACTCCTCCCTCTAAGCAATTGTAAATCCAAAATTAAGAGGCTCTAATTGAGGAAGCATGGAGAAAGGAAAAATAACAGCCCTTTATTAAAGGATATATGTGTATTGGCAGAACAACAGAAGAATACAAAAAACGATCAAACCAATAATCCTGTACCCAAAAATCCCCCTCAAAAGGAAACAGGTCGGTACTTTTCCACCTTTTGACGCAATTCTAACAACGGTCAGCAGGGGGCGCTGTTGAATCACTGGAGGAGCAGAGCCTGCAGTGCTCGGTGTTGGCCAGCAGGGGGCGCTGTTGGGCCTGGCGGTCCCCGCGCGGTGCCCCAGTCTGCAGGAGAAGCCGAAAGTGGAGGCCTTCCCCCCCCCCTCCCCCCCGGGGGGAAAAGGGGGCTTTCCCCCCGAAACTCACGCTGTTTGCGGCTGGCTGTGGCCAGGATTTCCCCCTTTTCGTCGATGGACACACGCCGCTGCCAACACGGAAACGGAGGAGGGAAAGGGCAACCTCCTCCCAAAAAGGTTCCTCTGCAGGTGGGTCAAGCCTCTCCGATGAAATCCGAGCAGATCTGAGCTGGGACAGAACATGGCGCAGGAAAACGGAGGGACACCGGGGCCAGAAAACAAGCCAGATGACCAGGCCAAAACCAAAGTGAACCTCGGACCCCTCCAACACAAACCCTCCCTACAGTCAGAGCAAAAGTGAAGTGCCTGCCATTTCCGAGGAGAGGGAAAAAAACCTCATCACCCCTCCCCAGTCTTCGGAGGGCCATCAGCTTGGAATGTGATTTGTGTGGGGTCAATCACCCAAGGCGAAAACTACCCTCCCACTTTCAACATCCCCCCCCTTACAGCAGTGCATGGGAAAGAAAAATTTCCTGCCTGTTTTTTTAGAACAAGTAAACCTATGACAACCATCAAGGTGCTGATGCTGTCAGTAACTGAGGGCTGTTAACCCCACTCTGACAGAAAACAGAAGTCACAGGAGTTATTTATCTACAGCTGATTCTGCTCATTTCACCAGCATGAGCCACAAATTAGGGAAGAGAAGGAGACTTCTCAAGTTAATAATAGCAGTAGAAGACAGAAATTGGGCCACCTCAGGAGAATCTAGTAGGAAAAAAAGAAAGCGGTGGAGGAGGATGGATCAATGCTGTTACTCTTTCACCTGACAGTACTCCAAGGATATGTCTGAGCTACTCCTTCCAATAGGTGGAATAAAGGGCTTTTGTACAGTCACACCATGCTCTCTTTCCTGCACAGTTACAGGGTGCTTCATCAGCCAGGAGCTGTATTTTGTGATACCTCTCATGCTTCTTCCAGGATTGCTCTTGTGAAAATTTTTATTTATTATCTTTATTATTAAGCATTGAATAACCAGTGAATGCTCTAAAGCATCTTTACTTCAACCTATACTTACCCAGCATAACAAATCTAATGCAAACCATTCATTTTCAGCCCACGTCTCTCCTGGAAGGTGTTTCTTCTGCTATCACCTACCATAGCCATAACCCGTGAGAAAGGCAAATAAGGAAAAAAAAATAAAATCACCAAACCAAACAAAAAAAACCACAAAAAAAGCCCACATTTTATCCAGCTACCCCAGAGCAACTCTGGAGCTCAGTGCGAACCACTGATGGCCTCCCCCAGTCCCGAATCCTCGGGGCTGCTCCACCCCTGGCTCCTTTAAGCCCTCCGGACTTCCCCAGACCAGCTTCCCCAGCCTCGGCCCCTCCAGCCCCACAGGACTACCCCAGCCTCCCCCGGGCGCCTGCAACGCCGGCCTCCCTCAGCCCCTCCGAGATCCTCCAGCCCCCCCCCCCGGCGCCTCCAGTCCCGGCCTCCCCAGCTCCCTCAACGCCGCCGGGCTCCTCCAGCCCCGCGGTTCCAGCCCCAGCCCCTCCATCCCGCTGCCGTCCGCCTGCTCCAGCCCCGGCGGCACCTCCAGTCCTCCTAGGCTCCGTCAGCCCCCCGGGCTCCTCCATCCCAGCTCCCCAGCCCCCTCAGACTCACAACTTCTCCATCCCGGCTCACCCAGTCTCCTCAGCCCCCAGTGCTCCCTTAGACGCCCGGGCTCTTCCATCCCACCTGCCCCGGCTCCCCCGTCCCCTCAGACCCGCAGCGCCTTCCTCCCGCTACTGCCCGTCTTCCCCGGTCGCCTTAGACCCCCGGGCTCCTCCCGACCCGCGGCTCCTCCATCCCGGCTCCCCTGTCCCCTCAGTCCCGATGCTTTTCCATCCCGGCCCCCTTGTCTCCTCAAGCGCCACTCCCGCCACGACGCTAGAAGGACCGGGAGGGCATGGCCTGACCTAGGGCGCGGCCCAGCGGGGGTGGAACCGATTGGAGGGCGGGTCCTATCGGGGGCGTGGCCTGTGTGGGGGCCGTGGCCCGCCGTGGGCGTGCCCGTGTCCGTGCGCGCTGACGCAGCGCCGGCGGCGGGGGCCGCGTTCGGCCGCCCGATCCAACATGGCTGCGGGGGGCGGTGGCGGCAGCGGCGGCGGCGGCCGCGGGGCCGGCGGGGGCAGCGTCCCGCGATGGGGCGGTGGCGGCGGCCGGGCTGCGCCGCACGAGAAGCTGCCGGTGCACGTGAGTGCAGGGCCGCCCCGCCGGGCGCGAATGACCCTTGCCCACCCCTCTTCCCCTCCCCACCCTATCCCGCGAAGGGCCGGTCCCCGCCGCTTTCGCCCGCCCCGCCCTGACCGGCCCAGCCCTGGCCGCGGTGCTGCACTCGCCCCCTCGGGGCTTGTACCCCCCAACGCAGGTGGCGTGGGGGGTCCCCTGGGCATGTCCTCCCCCCGCTGTCCTCCCCTGGTTCCGTGGGGTCCCCTGGGGCCGCGTCCGCCTCCGCCGGTACCACACGGCCCCCCCCGGGCCTGTTCTTCCTCCCCTGTGCCGTGCCCCCTGCCCAGCCCGCGATTATTCTCCCTCGGGACCTGTTCCCGGCTCCCCGGTGCCGTGTCCCCCACTCCGTGCCTTGCCATCCCCCCCAGCACTAGGAAGCCCACTGGGTGCCCACCGGGGCCAGCCCTCCTCGGAGCCCCCTCACCTGGTACCTTGTGCCCCTCCCGTTCCCCGGAGCTGTGGGGGCTCCCCCGGGGGCAGGTCCCACCTACCGCAGTGCCTTGAGGAAGCCCCCTCCCCAATTCCGGGGCCGTGGGGGGCCCCGGGGACTGTTCCTCACCCCTGTTCTCACCCTGCAGGTGGAGGATGCGCTTTCCTACCTGGACCAGGTGAAGATCCGGTTTGGCAGCGACCCTGCCACATACAACGGCTTCCTGGAGATCATGAAGGAGTTCAAGAGCCAGAGGTAAAGCCCAGGGTGCTCTGGGGAGCTTCTCAACCTTTCATGGAACTGCAGAATATCCTGAGTTGGAAGGGACCCACAAGGACCATCCAGTCCAACTCCTGGCCCTGCCCATACACCCCAACAATCTACTCTGTCCCTCAGAGTGTTGTCCAAACGCTCCTTGAGCTCTGGCAGCCTTGGGGCCATGCCCACTGCCCTGGGGAGCCTGTTCAGTGCCCCACCACCTGAGATCCTTTTCCCAAGATCCATCCCAAACCCCTCTGATGCAACTCCAACCATTCCCTCAGGTCTCAGACCTCAGCCTTTGTGGGGTCTCTCTGCCTGTGCAGGGTCCCCCAGCCTTCACACCATCATTACCCCTCTGCCCCACTGCCCTGTCCCCCAGTGGTGCAGTCACGTAGAGGGGGAGGGCCTCTGCCCATCCCTCACTTCCCAGAGATGAAATCCACAGGAAAAGGCAAATCTATTTTTATTTCTCACTCTGAAATGCAGATCTTGAAAATAAGTGAAGCTGCTTGAACACAGAACCTCTGACCTGCCAGCCCTGCAGGGCATGGGTGTCTTGCCCCTTCGGCAACCTGCACACTCACCTCTCTCCTCTCTGAATAACATTCCGAATGTGAGGCTGGTCATTCCCTCTGCTTGGGCTAATATCTAGATCTGAATTTCCCAAACTTCTTAAAAATTGCATCCCTGAGGAGCCAGATGCTTCACTTCCTCTGGCATTTTCTATGTTTAAGATGTATTTCTCATTCTGATACACGTAACAGACCCTTCTCAATTTTAGCATTGACACACCTGGAGTCATCCGTCGTGTTTCTCAGCTTTTCCATGAGCACCCTGACCTCATTGTAGGATTCAATGCATTTCTCCCTCTGGGCTACAGGATAGAAATTCCAAAGAATGGGAAGTTGAGTATACAGTCACCTTTGAATAGTCAGGTAGGTCATAGTCTCTAAATAAACTCTGTTCTGTGTGTTGCTGGACATATCTCCTGCCTGGAGATTTAGACTGTGGAGATTTATGTGTAGTGCACGTTGCTGAAGTTTTTAGATGGTTGTCAAACCTATGGTAATGGTTCTAATATAAATTTAAATATTTATTCAAAGAATCATAGAATATTTTGGGTTGGAAGAGACCTTAAAGATCACCCGGTCCCAACTCCCAGTTTATTCTCAAGCCACTGTTTAGCTTACAAGGGAATGATGATCCTGCCTGAAACACCACTTCAAGTCCAAATACTTCAGATTTGAAAACTGAAGTTGTAATTGGCCTTACATAGTTATACAGGTTCTCATTACGTAGTGTGGGCAGTGGCACATTTCAGGAAGGGATCCTGGAAGAATTGCATTTCCATTCTTCCACTGAGAAACTTGTTTAGGCAGTAGGCAAAAATACACAGAGTCGTAAAATCGTCAGATTGTTCAGGTTGGAAAAGATCTTTAAGATCCTGGAGTCCATGTAGACCTGCAGTTGGTAACATCCTGCAGTGAAACAAAATTGCTGGGATACAGATGGATGTTGCCTCTGCTTGTTTTGTGTTCCTGTTGTGTCGTTATGGAGGCTGAAATAGAGCCATAGAGTGAATTCTGCTGATAAACTTGTGCTTTAACTCCAATTAGTAGCAGGAGCTATCCTTCAGATCTCAGTTCCCTTAGATCTCTCTGTTGCTTAGAAATTACCATCTGTAAGAGCCTTAAGTTTAATATTCTTAAAAGGGGCAGTTCCTGTGCAATAACCAGTGGGAGCAGGAGCTGCAGTGGGTGGTGTTGGTGCAGCATCTCAGGTGAGGCCAAGAACACCATGACAGTCACAAGTCAGTGGTTCCTACACCAGGTAGAATTTAGGGGATTTTTTTAGGTGATGGAGTTAAACTGGGTAGGGAAATTGATTGGCTAATGAATCATTTATTCAAAATGAAAGGAGATGTGAAAGGAGGTTCTGTAAGAACCTGGGCTGATGGTCATTGCAAGTTGTGTGCACCTTGCTGAGGATGAATTTTCTAGAGTGAGGTATTTTTTTGCCTCCTTTTAAAGGGACAGTAAGCTTGCACTGTAGCTATTGGGAGCAGTTGTTGTCAAATTTAATCTCTGCCTGTTGTACAGGCCACAGAGTTCCCAAGGACTAGTCTTTGTCCAACAACTGCCTCACAGACATTCACATATTCACTGATGGAGTTAATAAACTAGATAGGGAAATGATTGGCTAATGAATTCTTTTCAGTTTCTTCTTCAGGTGGTAATATGTTTTAGTTAAACAGCTTGGCAACAGTGATGCTGGGTTGTTGTTGAACTTGCACTTGTGTTCCTTTTCTGACAAGTCTCTCTCTTGGGTGTCTTGTCTTTGTCTCCAGGTGCCCCCAGAGCCTGTTCCCAGTGCGTTCCCTGGCAGTGGGATGTTGTTGCACTACTCCCAGGAGAACTCACACAATCACAGTGACTGCTCAGAGGAGTTCAGGCAACAGCTTCCATACAAAGAAGATAAATCCCAAATTCCCCTGGAATCTGATTCTGTAGAGTTCAACAATGCCATCAGTTATGTGAATAAGATCAAAACACGCTTCCTTGACCATCCAGAAATTTACAGATCCTTTCTAGAAATTCTTCACACTTACCAGGTAAAAAGTGTTCCATGGGAGGGACAGGGGGTTTGCACTGTAGGTGTTGGAGTAGTTGTTGTCAAATTTAATCTCTGCCTTTTGAACAGGCTGCAGAGTTCCCAGGAACTGGTCATTATTCAGCAACTATCTCGTAGATATTCACAGGAAGTGGCAAAAATGTGAAAATTGTGGCAGTTTGCAGGGACTGAGGTGTAAATGGGCTGTATCCAGATCTGTGTTTACTAACCCTCAGTGGTTTTAGTGATACTGTGTGTGAAAGGAGACACTGTAAGAACCTGGGGCTGGCAGGTGGTCATTTCAAGTTGTGTAGCAACTTGAACATTTTTGGCACAGGATGAGTTTTCTGGCAGAGTGAGGCACTTTTTGACTCTATTTAACTTAACATCTGTGTGTATGTTTTCAGAAAGAGCAGCTAAACACCAAGGGCCGACCCTTTCGAGGCATGTCCGAGGAGGAGGTGTTTACTGAAGTGGCCAATCTGTTCCGGGGACAGGAGGATCTGCTCTCTGAGTTTGGACAGTTCCTCCCAGAGGCAAAAAGGTCTTTGGTATGTGTGTGCTGAGGGCAAGGCAGAATACTGAATACTCTCTGTATGTAGAATGTGCAAAACATTATGGAAAATCATACAACCAGTAATGAACTTTGCTTAACCACACTCTCTATGTCCTGTTAGGATTCTTTATTTATGCCAGTTGGGAAGAGAACCTTGAAGTCATTATTTATTTACTGCAGTTCACAGGAAATGGACCATGTGAAGTGAACAGTGTCCAGAAGACTGAGCATGAGAAGAATCTGGAGCA